CAAGTTTCTGCATCTGAGCCTCCTCTGCGATGCAAAGAAAATGTTAGCTTTCCTTCGAAGGTGGTTGTATTGATGACACAAAGATAATGCATGTGAAGCTCTCAGAACACTGGCAAATGCTAAATGCTATCCTTCCCGCAAGTAATAGAAGGGCTATTTTCTCCTCGCCCTGAACTACATTCTGGCCCACTGATTTAGCCCTTGTACTGTACTGGTTTATGTGGGCTTTTCCTCTTCCCTTTCCTCATTGCAGCGATGTTTGTTCTCACTTGCTTTGATGAGCAGGGAAAGGGCCTCAGTCTCTGTCATGAGGTGAGCACGCCCACAGACGGGGGGGTGGGGAGGCAACTTGCTGATGGTACTTAAGCAAGGATGTCTCTAGGTGGTTGAATAGGAACTGGGATCCTACTGAAAACTCTAGCCCTGATCTCATTTTCATGCGTAACATCAGGGGATACTGAATGCATAACATACCAAATACAGGATGATGTCACAGTACTACAAGCAGCCAACGCCATGGGCCGGAGATAGAGGCAGAGGAATAAACCACACCAGGTGCTGGATATCCCTTGATGTTGCGGAGGAGGAGGAGCAGCAGAGCTCTTACTCTTACTGGACAGTTTTGCACCTGTCAAAATGTCTAGTTTTACTTTTGTGTTCAAATCCTTTTAAAACTATCAATGCAAGTCTTCCAGATCCGATTCTGATTCTTTTATCTTTGTCCTAGCTGACACTGATTAAGCCCATCTAACTTTCACAAGAGGGTTTCTATATATAGATGCTATGCTTTCTTATTTGGAGGGCCATATTTGTTCCATTTAACTAAAAAATGAAAACAGATGCTTCATTTTAAGGTGTAGGTCAGTGCCATCACAAATACTGCTGAGCTCAGTGGATAACTTTCGGCATGCTAAGCATCTTCGTTACTGCAAGCACCAGTCAGGAAGGTAGACCAATGCAGGACACGAATGTAGGCTGTCCAGTGCAATTCTGCTGAAAGCATATTGCCTCTTTGCCCATACTGGTACCATAAAGAATCTCTGCTGTCTGCTAAGAAAGAAAATTCTGCCCAGGTTTAAAAAGGGCTCCTAAGCTGAACACAGAGCCACGTGCATTCAAGGACAATTTGGAGCACAAAATAAGTTGGGTAGCTTAGCTTATTTGCCTCGTTTAGTTTTGCTTCCAGGAACCACATTCACAAAGAACTTGGCTAGGGGACTTCAAAGGGAGGAGAGCTTAGGGGAGATCAACAGTGTGGTAGGGAAATAAGATTGTTGTGCCTCTGTGCCCATTTGGGGGGCATGGGGAGGTGCCAGTTGGTGAAGTCTTGCCTCATTGCCTTCAGCTTTTTAGGCCCAGTGCGCAAACTTTCTAGTGCCAGCGTTCCTGTTTTGTGTGGTGAAGAGGCACACTCATGATTTTCCACCACCCTCATGAGAGCCCAAGGGCATAATGACGTTAGGTCAGGACTGGGCAACATGTGGCCCTCTAGGCTTCTCAGTCAGCACTTTGCACCATCCCTCACCCTTGCCCATGTTGTCTAGGGCTCATGGGAGCTGTAGGTTAAACATCTGGAGAAGCAGATGTTTGCGCTCTGTCCTGGCTCCTGCAGCCTCTCTCTTGGACAAAGATCCAGCAAAGCAGGCTGTTGAAAAAATGGCCCACCGTGTGATGTGCCTGGGGAAGGGGGCAACAATGCTCCTCCCAAAATATGAATTAGACTGCCAGCCATACAAATGTATGAACCAGATCTCAGCCATCACTAGGTCCTAATTCATCTTATTTCAGAGTTCTCTTTACACACCGTGGCTGGAAAGGCATGTAGGATAAGCCAGGGGTGTTTGGAGTGCCGAATCTCCTATCTAACCTAATGGCTGGATTCACATGACACAATTCATGCTCAAGGTTGTTAGTGAATCATGGATTGTTATGTTGCATAAACCCAACTGTTCTACATGTTTTTAACAGATCACACAGAAAACCCATGGCTGGTGGTTGAGTTGTGAACTGTAGATTGTTCTGATTAACAAAGCATTTGACTAGTTAACAAACCATGGTTAGGCTAACGCAACTCAAGAATTTATGGCCCAAAGACTACTTGCGCAAATGTTCAATCTTGAGCGTAGCTTGTTGTGTTGTGTGAACCCAGTCAATCTTACCTGTTCTGGTAACATGTTTGGACATACGGACAAGGATACAGTGAGCTTTGGGTTTAGTGTAATTGTTATTTTGTATAAAATCGTAATCTAGATGACTGGAACCCAGGAATCTACTTCACATTCTGTGGCAGTTCTGCACACAGCATTAAGTATTAAACACATGCAGCCTGCCTTGCAAAACAAGTTTGTCCTATCCATTAAGCTGCCATCCTCATCAGTTGCCCGGGGCTGTTTCCATCTCTCCATATGCCTTCCAGGTCTTCGCTAGTGGATTAGATGCAGACCAGCACTATTTCATTGGCATTTGATTGGTGCACCAGTGTATGTGCTCATGTGTTGAAGGCTGTCTTTTAGAAATGCTAATTTCGTGCTTAAAACCCAACACCATCTTGTAGCTTCCTGTCAAAAATATTGATTTTGAATAATTTAGCATGAAGGGATGTAGGGCAGTAGCCATTCTGTTGGGTTTCTTTCTAAATAAATGGAAGCTTCTCTTTTAATAAGCACATGGCATTAAATAAACTGCATCTGAGAAGGAAAATGGAAACCAAAGTGATGGTCTTAAGACCTGGCCTACACAAGGGGAAAACTGAGTTGGGAATGAGGTGGTAGACCAGGTAGAGGGGAATTAGTTACCTTCTAGCAGGAAGCTTTGAAAAGCAACATAGAACGTGGGCTGAGCCGGAACCTTTCACCCTGATGTGCTGTTATTTTTAGTTGATTTATCTGGGGAAGCATTAATTTTTTTCTCCCACCTGCATCTGAAAATTAATTGTTTCTGTGTAGGCCAAGACTAATTAGTGGTAGAACTGGAGCTGACTGGAATGCTGTTCTTGACAGAGGAAATGTCCTCAGGCTATAACAGTGCCTTAAGGACCACACCTGAGCTACTTCGCTGTCACCTCTGTTTGCTGCTGCATTTTTTGGCTCCGCAGACTGGATGGGGAACCTCCGCAGGCCAGATTGGGCTCGCAGTTCCCCATCCTTGATGCGAGTGCAGCACAAAGGGGACACAGACTCCTCATGTTGGAGCTTTGAAGGATGGGGCAGGGATAGCTCGGCCGCAGTGGCACAGGCACTAGCGCCTCAGGACAGGATCGCTGCCACATGCTCTGTATGGGGCTGTCCTTAAGGCTAGTGCAGAACGTAGCAACTTGGCTGTAGTGGGGGGGGGGGGGGCGTCCCCTTTCCGTAGGCATTGGCTTCATTTCTGCTACCTGGTTTGAGGCTACTGCAGCTTTACATAAAGTCCTGAACAACTTGGGAGTAACGTGTTTTAGAGCCTGTCTCTTTTCCCTTAGTCCCCTGGTCACTGAAGTCGCCCACTGGGGTACTCCCGGTGATCATGAGGCCAGTTTACAGTCTGGCCTTCATCTTAGTCATTCTGGGCCAGTTGATGTGAGGTGGGCACTACCCCTCCATGCCTGCTAAGCACAATTTTATTTAATTGCTTCATTCTTGAGTAAAAGGTGAAGCACAGTGTTACTGTTTAATTTGGTTTTAAAAGGTTTTATTCTTTTGTATTTTGGTTCTCCCCTTTCCTAATATTTACAGCTTAGGAATCTCTAAGATGTGGAATGGTTTACAGATTTGATAAATTAAGTGTGTGTGTGGAGGTGGTGGTCCTGCTTTTGCTACTCAAGCACTTGTCAGGGTGTACTTGGCTTTCCTTCAGTTCCTTTGCTACTGCCTCTGTAATTGGCAGAAGCTTGCTTTCTGGTGTTCACATGCCTATGGTTCTCATACCCCTAGTTATGGGCCTTCTGTTAGGCTAATGTTTCTGCCTGGCACATTTCTGCCCTTCACTTTCAACTCTTAACACTTCACGTTTCCTCTGAAGAGCCTCTTCCTTGCCTCTCTTGGTCTAGGCTCATTGCTCCTGTATCATCTGCGGCCCCCTCCCTCCCTCCCTCCCTCCCTCCCTATATCGCTGGCCTTTTGGTTGGCCAGGTGCACTCCTACCTCTAGAGTCCGAGTGGCACGGAAAGCACAGTGGGTGCTGCTCACATCCTGAAGGGTGCTTGAAGCAGCAACTGCCTTTCGCAAAAGGTGCTTTCCTTGGGATGCGAGGCGATGCTGCCTGAGACCTGCCCACTGCAGTGGTGAGAGGGCTTGCTTCCCCCTGGGCCTGCCCCTCGAATTGCTGTCCACAGTGTTTGACTTGCAGCCACTGCTGTCTTGAGGGCCCCTCCCAGAAATGAGACTCTGCCCCAGTCCCTGTTTTACCACTTTGTGGATCTTGTCCTCTTCCTAAAGAGCCCCAGGGGTTCTCCACACTGGCTGGTAGGGGTATGTGTGTGTGTGTGTGTGTGTGTGTGTGTGTGTTTTCTTTTGTTATAAATGCAACAGCCCTGCAGAGTTGGGCTTGGTGACTGTCCTGAGTTTTCCCAGGGAGCCTCATGGGTGAGTGCGGATGTGAACTCGGGTGCCTTTGCTCCAGCTTTTGCAAGCCACAACATGGCTGTCCACGCCTACTCCATTACTAGCCCTTCTCTTCTAATAGCCAAATGATAAAATAGTATAGGGCAGGGGTGAGGAGGCTGTGGCTTTCCAGATTTTGTTAGACTTCAGCCGCCATTATCCCTGACCATTGGCTTGGTAGCTAGAGCTGATGCGAGTTGGAGTGCTTTGACAGCCTAGGTTCTCCACTTATTGGAGGGGCAAAATACCTCAAAGGTGTACAGAAAGAAATGTTTTTAGACCTTGAATGTAAATGTTTTTAGACTCAAGAATTCCTTTCTTCTTAGGAATTCTTGAGTTAGTTCTGTATTACATGTTATCATACTATAACTATGTAGTTACGAACACTTTTGGTGATGGATATTCTTGTTTCCTTGTCAGGTGGACCTTTTCAAAAAGACCCTCTTGTTAATTCCGATCCATCTGGAAGTTCACTGGTCCCTAATTACTGTGAATCTCCCTAACCGAATTATTTCATTTTATGACTCTCAAGGCATTCATTTTAAGTTCTGTGTTGAGGTAAGCTATTCTAATAAAACGTCTGTCTTTCCTAAAACAAGACTTGAGGCTTTGTCCCCTCCTTTCTTAGGGCTCTGATCATTTTCAGTAATAGTTTGGTTATCCTAAGTTACATGTTTCTGGTCCTCTTTGCGAAAAGGAGAGTGCATTAGGTTTGCTGGTGTGGAAACTTGCCACAATTTTGACTAGAATTTCTGTGAATTAGACTGCAGCGAGGCATTCCAGGATCCTAGGCCAGGAACTTTACAGCTGGAGTTTCCATGTCCCACAGCTTGCCTTTAAGACAGGACACTTGCTTCTTTGGCCTTCTTACCAGCCCATCAGCAACTGCTAACCCCAACTTTATATCATTAAACTCTGATTTTTTTGTCCTACCGCACATTTTGTATGATCAGTGCAATCAGTTTTTCCACTTCCTTAGCCCCTGTGTTTCAGCCATAGCCCAGAAATAGTTTGCTTTTCTTCCCTCAGCCATCACCAAACTTGTCCTAATTCATGCCCCACATCCTTACCTTATCCAAACCATACTCCTCTAAAAGCACCCATTCTCTCTATTTTTTGTAATTCCATCCTCTATGTCTCTCAAGCATTCTGAGCCTTCTGTCTGTCCCACATGGATCTCTTCCTTTCTGTAAAAACCTTGGAGCAGTGTGTTAGGTGGCTTGTTTGATTTTTGTCTTTGCGTCAGTGCCATCAGATAGACCACAGTGAGAGCTGCCGTGTTTCCTGAAAATAAGACACTGTCTTAATTTTTTTTTTGACTCACAAAAACGCACTAGGTCTTATTTTTTATTTTATTTTTAAATGTGTACAACAATCCACACTTATGCATGTACAACAGCATGAATACAAGTACATTTGGTATCACTCCGCCTGTGACAGGAGCCGGCGCTATAGGGGAAGCATCGGCTTGTGTGGCTCCGCTCCCTCCGCATGGAGCGCAGGGAGCAGAGCTGCATAAGCGTGTTTCCTCCACACAGTGCATTAAGTTAAAGTTCAGTTAAAAAATAAAGTTTAAAAAGGCTCTTTATGTTCCCCACTGGCCCTGGGAATAAACACAGCTAGGTCTTATTTTCGGGGTAGGTCATATATTTTAGCAAGTACCAAAAATAGTACTAGGTCTTATTTTCGGAATAGGTCTTGTTTTCGGGGAAACATGGTAGTGACTTGTTTGGGGCCTGCTGAACGTGCTTCATAAATTTCATTATGAAAGGAGAGACTTCATAAATAAGTCTCCTGTTCAAGTCAGGGCCATTGAGGGAATCAATTCCCAGGTTTCCCCAGTCCAAGCCAAATACTCTTTCTAGTCCACCCCGTGGCTCTGGTTAGGTATCGTTGGCAGGGGAGCACTTAGTTAAATTTTCATAGAAGAATACTAACAGATTCAATTCTTATTTTCCCTTTCCTACCTCGCTTTGTAAAGAACATACGGAAATACTTGCTGACAGAAGCTAGAGAGAAAAATCATCCCGATTTCCTTCAGGGTTGGCAGACTGCTGTTACAAAGGTAGGAGCCCTTGGTCTCTTTTTAATTCTGTTTTACAAACATACCAGTATAAAAACATTAGAGTAGAACTTCATCTCTCCATGCTGACTTCCAGCTATCCCCCCTCCCCCAGAAAGCGCCGGGAGCTTTTGAGGCACCTGATACCTGTGTAAAGAGCTTGTGGTAAATTCCTGGGGAAGCCGTGGGGCTGCGGTGGGTAGGCTGGGCACCAGCTCTGCTCGTTGGCGGCAGTGCAGTGACGCCTCCTGTGTCCACACGCAAACGTGCAGTGACGGGCCTGGTTTCCCAGGAGTTCAGCTGTTATGGAGCTGTCGCTGTGGCCGTTACTCGTAAGCCTGAGGACCATTCCAGAGCCATGCACAGAAAGCAGAGTAGACGTCAAGAAGCATCACCTGGATCACCTGGAGGGTGTTCAAGGACAGGCTGGACAGGCACATGGTGGGCATGTCGTGAGCGGAGCTGGCTGGAGCCGGGGGGCAGACTAGATGGCCCGGGAGGCCCCTTCCGCCCCGCTCTGTGTCTGTGTCTCTATTCTTCCATAAATGTGTGTCCTTGCTGGTCCTCTCTCCTTGTGTGCTTTAGAGGTACTAAAGACGCTGTCCTATGCATGTTTAGACAAAAAGTCCCACAACTCCTAGAATTCTGCGGCCCATCTTGGCTGGCCCCAGAATGCTGGGAGTTGTAGAAGGCTTTTTGTCAGGCTGACTTAGCATGAGGTTGCAGCCTAAATGGGTTCATAAATCATTTTCTGAATGCCCGCAGCTTAATTCTTCTTGTTTGGTCAGTCTTGGGACCAGTTTTATTTTTGATGTGAAAGTACATTTGATAGCTTCCATGAGATACAAGTTTCCAAATGCAAATGGTACTTGCAAAATAGTGGGTAATGGAAATTCTTTTTTCCCCCTTTCTTTTTCTCCTTTCTAGGAAAGGATTGAACTGTCTTGGTCCTTTTAACATACATGCACGGTGATTCATGAGCCTTTATATGACGTAAACATTGTGCTGAGAGAGAGATAGAGTGTCTTGTCCTGCCCCCAAGTGCCACAGTCAGAGTGAAGTAGGAATCAGCTGGTCTAGCGCTTGATTCATTATGGCCTAACTCCCATGGAACTGGGTTCACCAGCGTGACTGCCTGGGGGATGCTGGGATGTCCGTAGGGTTCCGTGTTGGGGAAGGCTGGTGTACAAGACAACCAGACAACCAGTAGATGTTTATTTCATTGGGAAAGCTGCAGGCGCTACATCGAAGGGATGGCTTCCCCTGTAGAGTTGTCAAAAGAACTGCCACACTGCACCAGTGCAGCAGGTGCTTACAGCTAAACATAGTCCGGCAGTAATAAAAGAGAACAACTTGTGTGAAGTGCAAACAAGGAAATTTGTGACTTGCATAACCATATCCTGTAATAGCTTTGAAGATATAAAATGGGCCATTGAACATTAGACAGTTTCCCTGTGGCTTCCCGCTCACAATGAATTGTCTTGGAGGTTTATTGTTATACAAGCGTGATCTGCTATTTCTCTTCTCCTACCCACTTGATAAGTGTGTAGCCCTAGCAGGGAGAAGGAGGGTAGTGTGAGGTCTGGGCGATAACTCATCCTTAGAAATGCCTGGCGACTTTTACGCTGGCAGAAACTGGAAGATAAAACCAGTGGGCTTAGAGGCGACGTGGGTCTGTTGGTGCCCCTCTTTGTCTTTCTGTGCCCCCGTGCCAGAACATTTCGGGCCAACCCTTTCACTTTTTTTCAAGTATACATTGAAAAATAAACGGAGTTCATTTGATTTCAGTCCTCCACATTTATAAACGTTGGCTCTAAAAATTATAATATGCAAAAATTTTGGAGAGAATTGGCTAACATCAAGGCAAATGTGGGCATTTTGCTGATCTCCTCCTGCTGAGAATCAGTTCCCTGCCTTGCCAGGTTCTTTGAATCCCATGACAGACTGGGAGTGATGTTGGGATTCTGGCATATGCCACTTCAGCACCAAATCAGGGTGTTTTCTTCTGCCACTCACAAAACACTGTTTGGGGGTCACTGTGGACATTTGGGGTGGGTGGCAGGAGGAAGAAAGGGCAGCTGGTCCTGGCTCAGCCCTTGGAGGGGCCTTGAGTGCGGCCCAGTGGAAAGGCTACTGATGGGGAATTTTCTGCCAAGCCGGGCTGTCAAGTGGTGCCATCGCTGCCCTTGCTGGAGAACCGAAATTGGCTGCAGGTGCTTGAGGAGCCTTAATCGGGTTGCAGACTGAGACTTAGCAGAAGAAACAGCCTCCGAGCTGCTCGTAGGAGCTAGCGCTCCCGATGGCGCGCCATCTCCACAGCCGCCCTTCAGTCTGACAAGTGTGATGGAGTGGCTATTGAAAGTGTGCATTGTTCACTCGGCGGCCAGCATTTCTCTTTTCTTCCCAGCACGGCTGCCTGGAACACTTGTGGCAGTTGAGCTGGAGATTAAGTTGGTGCTGATGAGGTTTTTGTTGGTCTCTCGGGCACTTGCTGCAGGCTTCAGGGGTTCTTGCCAAGGAGGAGGTAAACACTGGCTTCTCTGAGGAACCTGTGCTCGGACCGGTGGTTTTGACCTTGCTCATAATGATCTGGGCTTGGGCTGAACAGTGAGGTGTCCAAGTTTGCTAACAACACCAAATTACTAAGGGTGACTAAAGCAAATAGTGGCAGCAAAGAGGTCCAAGGGGATCCTCCCAGACTGGAGGAATGAGCATTAAAATGGCAGGTGCAGTTCACTGTAAGTGTGAAAAATGATGTCCAAAGGGGCAGACATTCCTGATTTCGTTTACATGTTGATGGGGGCCGAGCTGGTCATGGCTGACCGTGACAGGGATCCTGGGACTGTTGACTCAGTACATGGCTGTTATGATGAAACATATCCCAGATTGGGCCGTATTGGCAGAAAAGGGCCACTAAAATGTTCAGGGGGATGAGAAATGCTTACAGCATCTGGGAATGTTTTGCTTCTCAGAGAGAACGAGAGGGGAGATAATAAAGGGGTATGCATCTGGGTGTGGTGTGGAGAAAAATGGATAGTCATGTTTCTCTCGCCCTAATAGTCCTAGAAACCATGAAGACGAACAGTGGGAGTGCTGGGATGGATAAATAGTGGTGCATAGCTAAACTATGGAATGCATTCCTGCAGGATGTAGTGATGGCCAGCAATCTGGATGGCTTTAAAGGTGGGTACAATAAATGCTGAGGGGACAAGGCTAGTAGCTGCTGCTGGTCATGGTGGCTATATATCGTCTCCACTCTAGCAGGCTCCTCTGTACCAGTTAAGGGGCAAAAGAGGCAGGGAGGGGCTGTTCCTCTCACGTCCGGCTTGTCAGCTTTGTACGTGCATCTAGTTGGCTGCTGAGGGAACAGAATGTTAGCCTGGAAAGACCTGCAGCTCCTGTAATTTCCTGAGCGGGATGGTGTCTCTTGAACAAAATGGAATCACCCGGCCCTTCCTAGTAAACAACAGTTGCTATCATAGGAATGATTGGCTAGCAAGCCAAAGGAACTACCCCTTTGGATGCCTTTGTGGCTTTCTGAATCTGATAAGGCAGTGAGCAGCAGCAATCTGTATTCCTTGCGACACCACCGAGAAACACATTTTCTGAGCTGGCACGTTTGGCTCGTGTGCGTGCATGCACTTCTGTGTGGGCGCAAAATAAATCGTTCTTGTGCAAAGCAGATAGCCGTCTTCAAATATTTACTTTAAATAATTGAGAAGAAACTATCCTGCCGAGGTCATTAAAAATCTGGTATTCGGTTGGGAGATGTAATTTGTGTCCTGTTATAAAATATGTATTTGTGTTAAATTACTTGGCCTCATTCAAACAAGGATCTGAGCAGCCCTTTGAATACAGAGCCCTTGCGGTATGCTGTGTGACTTGACCCAGTCTGTCATGATGGTTTTCAGCTCGGGTGACTTCAGAGGAACAGTTTCCTCGAAAATGAGCTGCTTAATCCTGCTGCAGTCTGTTCTTTGTTAAACAGCTTCGCTCTCCACTTTCCAAGTGAAATTTAAAATGTTTTGCCTTGGAAATGGTGACTGGATCTCTAGTCCAGAGGTGGGTGCGCACTTCACCCCAAGGCCCTAGTCTGCAGTGGCCGCTCCGTGACCACCCCTCTGCATTCCTCTGCTATCCCAGGAGCAGGACCACCACACCTGTGCCTTTCATAAGCAGCCGCCTAGGAAGGCCTCGGCAGTTATAGGTGGCCTATAAACATGTGTGGAAATAAACAAACAAACGTTTGGGCTGTTCTCGCCCCACATTTTTCCTAGGACTGTTCCTCTAGATGGGAATTGAGCAGTGAGAACCCAGATAGGTCATCTAGAAAAGCAGCTTTTGGGTACCCTTGTTGATTACTGCCAGATCACCTGGGAAATGCATTAAGTCTCTTCTAAGAGGTTATCTCTTGAACAGGCTTCACACAAATGCTGCTTGCAGGGGAAGGTGGGTGTCGGAACCCTTTGTAAATCTCTGCATGGTAGAGCTGTGATTCAAAATCTTTTGTACTGCCCAAGTTCTCTGGATTGTTCACAAACAGAAATTATAGCCATGATGTATAACATACCAAATAAAATAGAATAAAGATAGATCTCATGATGTTTCGGATTTCAACTCCCAGAAGCCCCTGCCTGATTAGGGATGCTCGGACTGAGTGCCTACCTTCCACCCACCACTGAAATAGAACATCGACTTCACAACCTTAAACCAGTTGCAGTAGTAGAGCAAGCCAAATGGTTTCTGAATCGTCTGTCAGGGTATTCTCTGGTCTGACTGGCAGCAGCTGTCCAGGCTTCAGCACTTGAGTGGGCAAGTGCAGAGGGTTGGGTGGGCTGCATCGGCCACTCCAGAACCCGGCAAGGGCCGCACCACTCCTTGCTGCCGGCAGGAATGCTGGAAAAGTCGTGATTCTGCTGGGAAACTGGGACGTAGGGCATGCTCACCTTGCTTCCCGGCAGAATCGGGCCTCTTGGAGCAAGCCAAGCAGCTGTGTGGTGGGCTGTCAGGGATCCTGCTCTGGAGAGGAACAAACAGGGCTCGTGATCCTGACCAAATTGCCAGGAGTTGTATTCGGGGGTGGGGGGCGCACTTATGCCCAGGGGTCCCAGGGCCCAAGCAGGGAAATTCACATCACTGGCAACCTGAGAAACTTTTAACAAGAGAACCAAGACTGGACCATGCCCCTTCATCCCTGAGCTGTGGGTGAATGGTGTCGGCATGGCTCTGGGTTGACCTTCCCCAGCATGGCCCCCTCCAGTTGCTTCACACTCTGACTCCTATCAGTCCCAGCTAGCATGGCCAGTGGTCAGAATTCCTGGGAGCTGTGATCCAGAGCACCTGCAGGGCACCTGGCTGGGGACACCTCCGCTGTTGCCCTGCCCTAGCGACTCGGGAGGGCGTCAGTTGGTGGCTCTTCTCCAGCATTTGTCCTCTGAGGCACTGGCATCCCCATGCTGGGTGTGGTTTGCGGAAATGAGGAATGACAGAAAGCGGATCTCCCCGCCTCTGCCCAGGCAAGCATTTCCAGTGTATGCCTGTGTTAAACTGTGTTCTGTTTAATTCCTTCTAGTGCATTCCACAACAGAAAAATGACAGTGACTGTGGAGTATTTGTGCTCCAGGTAAGGACGCAACTTAGAAAAAGAAGCTGACTCTCTTCCTTTTTAGAATCTGCTTGCTATATTTTCTCGTGCTGTTTCCTAAGACTTACTCCCTCGCTCTCTCCATATTTTCCCACAGTACTGCAAGTGCCTCGCCTTAGACCAGCCTTTTCAGTTCTCCCAGGAAGACATGCCTAGAGTGCGAAAAAGGATTTACAAGGAGCTCTGTGAATGCCGGCTAATAGACTAATACAAACGGGGGAGGAGGAAGAGGAGGAGGAGGAGGAAGACGAAGAAGAGCTACTGCTTTTGGCATTTTTGAAGAGCCCCAGCTGGTATTTGTGTACTTGAATTTTCTGAAAAACTTCCGTGAATTTCAAACAAGTCTTGGTGGAGCGGTGTGGCCAACATAATTACCTCAAACTTTTTTCTGACATGCTCCTTATCCCATGGACCTGCCACAAAATATTCCCGATGTCAGTTGTTTTTTTTTTCTAATGTTCTTTCCTGTATTTAATATTTATTATCTAACGCATGTGCATAGGCAAAGCATGCGACTAAAAGAGAGAAGTATAAAACTGTAGAATTGGTGCACCTTTGAACCGTAGCTAGAAATGACAAGAATAATACAGGTTAAACTTTTTGTCTGAAAACATAAAATGTGCATGATCCATTTTTTTCTGATGCAATAATGTTTTGAATGTACAAAGAAACCCAATGCCATAATGAGAGAAGCTAGAAGCCCTTTTTCTGAAAACCAGACTAGTTCTTCCTCCCTGCTCTTTTGTTCCCAGGTCCCATTAAATTTGGAAGAAAGATGTGTTGGAAACTGCCCAGTATATTTAGTTTGTGGAAATCCATTCGAGTCGGTTGTTGCATTTTTTTTTAAAAGCTACTAGATTGCCATCTTCCTACAATTCAGAAGCAATCCCTTGTACAAGAGACTCTTTAGTGCTAATAAAACATGGAGATGCTCATTTGATTTGGTGGTGTTGCTCATAGGTTTGCTCTGGAAACTTCTTGTAGTCCTGTTCTCCGCGTGATTCGTAGGCCATCCAGGTCCACCGGAGACCCTCTGCCTTCTTCTGCTTCCTCTGGCCCCCTTTTCTTCCTTTTATGCTTGTGTGTTGCCAGTCAGTGCCCAGGTGCAGCATTTTTGGTTGGATGTGCAGAGCATCGTACATTTGGTTTTGCCAACTCTTCGCTTTCTCCATGGCCTGCTTGTCACCAAGCTTAGAACAAATTTGACCACTTCTCCCAGCGGCAATTCTGTATTCTTGAAACAACTCTTGCAAATATGGTTAAAGTTCCCTTGCATGATTGGAATGCATGATCTTCTGTTCAGATGTTCTAGGAAAAATGGGCCTTAGAGTTAGGTCCTTCGAGAGGGTTGGCAGATACTGTATTGCTAATGAGCACAGAAGAGGGATATGGTGAGGAATAAGAATGGTAAGATCTGGTAACTTGGTTCTGCATTCTGTGTTAAGAAGCTGGATTTCTGGGATGCTGACTTAGCTGCCAAACAGCACAGTTGCTTTATCTGGCACACCTGTGGTCATCTCAGTTGTGAAACCTCCAGACCAAACTTGGACAGAAAGTTGGTAACAGAGAAACAGAGCAAGTCATCAGGGGCCTCCTGGGCCATCTAATCTGACCCCTGGCTCCAGCCGGCTCTGCTCACGACTTGCCCACCATGTGCATGTCCAGCCTATCCTTGAACACCCTCACCAGTGGGGCCTCAGCCACCTCCCGGGGAAGCCCATTCCACACCCTCGGGGTCCTGACTGTCAGGAAGTGCTTCCTGGCATCCAAATGGAACCTGGGTTCCCTGAGCTTTGCTCCGTTGGAGTGCATCCTGCCTTCCTCTGCAGGGGAGGACAGGCCTCTGCCCATCTCTGACTGATCAGGTATGGTGACTGATGCTTTTAGGAGTCTGCAGGAGAGTGATATATTCCGTATCCTGGCAGCTCCTATAGCAGCCTTCCCAGACCAGGCTCCTTCCAGATGTTTTAGTCTGCAACTCCCATCAGCCCTTAGCCAGGGGTCAGGGATGATGGGAGATGTGATCAAAGATATCTGGAAAGAGTCACATTGGCACAGTGAGAGCACTGGCATTCAAATTGCTTTGCCTGGTCATATTTGGCTTAGAACTCCCGAATTCCCCTTTTATAATATATGTATATAAAGGGAATTCAGAGACGGAATGAAGCTTGGCTGCACTGCTGTGGTGGCCCCTTAGTTGTTTAATGGTCATAGCACTGCTTCGTTTGACTGCAATGCATGTTCTGTCAAGCTGAACAGGTGGCTCCGCCATATTCAGAATGGCTACAACACCTCTGCATAACTCGCACATACTGTCTCTGCTTTGGTTTCAGTGGAAAATAGTAGAATTTAAGCTGCACTCCTATCTCCATTCGCTTGGGACCACCTCTAAATTCCATGGTGTTTACTTCTGGGCAGGCAAATACAGAACTGCTGTTTCCCAGCATTTTATGCAAATATAATTGCTAACAATATGCAATGTCCTACAGACACACAAGATTCCATTAGATAAGTTCCTGCAAAAATATTTTACAAGCTTATGGTAATGCCTATCTCATTTTTTAGCTTTACTTGTTACCTGCTGAACAGGCTGTTTAAGCACATGTGGCTTCCACACCTCTGGCAAAGTAGGAAAGGTTTCTTGCCGATGCTGCCTTCTAGCAATTCATCATGCAAGCCTTGGACCAGTAACACTCTTGTCTTCGTTGCATTCATTGTTTCTTTGTTTTTTGTGTTTTAAGCCAGTCTTGGAGGAGAAATTGTGTGCACTTGTGAAATATTTCTTACAGAGGGTGAGTGCTGAAAAACCAGATGATTGAAATACAAAATCATGAAGAGGCAACTCAAGGCTTTGCCAGAAACAGTAATTGCTATGTATATATAATGACGATCAGCAGTAAAAGACGAGTTGCATTTGATTGTGCTGAAGATTAATGGATTTTGTAAGGAACAGTCTAGAAGAATCTTGGCCCTGCATGTCATCGCATGAATTTGTGTTACTATAGTCCATGTAGTCTGGAGAGGGGGAAAAAACCCCTGAAGTTGGAGTAGAACTATTGTTTTTTCTTGCTTTTTCCACTCGAAGTCAGCAAGAACTCATCTGCACATGGGAAGCTTGCATATTTATAAGTAAGCTACTTCCCCCCTAAAATTACTCCCTTCCTCCAAGTTTGTCCTTACAGTGTATCGCTGAGGATATCTAAAAGTTACCCAGTGGGCATTACAGTTGCGTGTGGATTTGAATTTGTGTCACCCAGCATGCTATGCACTGTCCCACCCTGCTTTAAAAAGAAAACAAAATCTTTCTCCCAGGCAGTCCAAATTCTACACTGAGAAATAGCCATGCTGCCAGGGAATTATGGGAACTGCAGTCCCATACGACTGGATGGGGAAGGCTGGATAGAGCGATGTTTCCCAGACTCTGGAGGCCTGAGGCTTTCTCTCCCCAGTTAAAATGAGAAGCACATGGAGAGATGCTCGTACATGCATTTTCCCAAAGTTTCACATTTTGAGTAAGAGCTGCAAACCAACTGAGGAGCCTGCATCCCCACATTTTCCCAGAAAATCACTCTTTTGAGCACGTAATTCTGCACATATCTCTGCAATGGGACTGAAAGATTCAGGGTTAGAACAATGAATTATATATGGAAGCATCTGTTGGTCTCCAAGCTGTCCCAGAAAAATAAGCATTTGTTCTGGCCTACTGGCCATTCTCTTGCCTGTTGGTCTGTAGCAATTACTCGGATACAGCATCTGAGGCTTCTCCATACTTGATTCTGTTTGAATAGGTAATGGATTACAGGTTGTCTGTGGCATCAGCAATCTAAAGGGCCTTGAATTTGTTTAATTGGAGAGAAATACAGGGTTTCTTTGTCAGAGGCAACTGAAGGAGGTTTGGATAGTTGCAACTGAAACTATATAGATGATTCATCCAGTATAGATGATATAAATTGTGCAAATCAAGAAGTACTGCACTCTTTGGACCATTTCAATCTTCATGGATGTTTGGGATTTATTCAGGTATTGCTTAGATACCTTGAAACATTGTTGCACCCATGAGGTTTAGAAACTTGATTTTAAAGGCATCAAATGCTGGAATTCTCTGGGAGCCACATGCAGGCACTCTGTCTCACATTTTATACTTGTAGGGAGTTGTGGCATTCATGTAACTCTTTCCGTAAGCTGCACAGGCTTGTCCTTGAAGTTTGAGCTTGGAGCTTTGCTTTGCAGCATCCTCTTAACACATTACTGAACTTGAGCCATCTGGTCCATCTTTTCCAATAGGTCAGGGTAGCACTACATTGCTTACCTCTTTTTCATCCATCAGAGCAATTTGGACAGCTGCACACAGGGGAAATCATGGGTGAGTTTCCGTAAGTTGGCTAAAGAGTTAGAATTTCCCTGCACAGTGCCTCTGCAATCGCTCAAGCGGGTTAGTTTCTATCATCTGCAGAGCAAACTGTTGCCATTAACTTCTAACCTTCCAAATTCTGCACAAGGAAACTAGTGCCCATCTGTCAGTCTTCTGTGTCCTTTTATCAGCATGTGGGGATGTCTTGCTGGTCTTAAGAGAAGCAAAGACACAGAATGGATGGGTTGCAGTTCTTGTTAGAAGTTAGACTGCCCCACCACTGCAATATCTCGCTATCACATCTCTTGACAATTTGATTCTAAATTCTCCTAACTCAAACTCCAAGAGGCAAGAGAGCACTTCAGGACCTCAAAAGTGCTGCTATTTTTGCGTTCTGTAAATTGAGGATTGTGTAGTGAGCATCTATTCAGATGGTTTCAATTTGTAAGGATGCAGAGAATTTGCATGAGTTTGTGGGTCCATCTGAAATGACAAGACTTCTGAACTGATGGAAGTGCCAAAGAGCAGGAGAGAATGCTGTTAATGATAAAGATCAACAACCAGTGAATGTATCCAGGTCTTCACTGAGACCAGGTCTGCTTCGTCTTTCCACAATCGTTCTTTCTTGGAGTAGGCCGAAGTTCATAATCCAGCATTTTATGCTTCTAGTACTTAAAATCCATCCCTTAATTGGCATCCTGCATCTTTTGGTGTGGCCAGTCGGGTCCAAGTTTCCAAGTATCTGGTGCCGACTGCAAGTTTTGGCGTGAGCTTGCTCAAGGCACCCTCCATGGATCCCCTCCTTCAGTGACTCGAGTTGCGCACTGCCATTGTCAACAGTTGCTCTTGCTCCCCGTCCCCTTCATTGCTTGCTCGATTTGCAGTGCATCAGGAAGCATGCATGTCGTGGCATCTGCTGCCATTTCTCACCACTGCCGTTCGAGCCAGAGGTAAACAAGGAGCCGGAGGTAAGCAAGAAAAGAATGCAGCCTGACGCTTGTTTCAACCTCTAGGAAGTTTCTGGTGCCCTTTTCTATATCTATTTGATGTGATCGTGTTATCCTTCTGAAGCAGTATACTCGTATTTAATGTCATTTGATTCAATTAATACCTGGCATCTCCAGCAAACCATGGGGGCAAATGAAAATCTTAAAACATGGCTTGACAACAAAAAAATTAAAAGCACTGTTAAAAAGACAACTGATGGGTACTCTTCTAGAGAGTTGGACAACATGGCTAAAAAGGGAAGAATGATATTTGTTTGCCAGCCAGTTGAGTAGGGTTTCTACAGCTTGTGGGCCAGACAGAATACCTTCCACTGGCCACATACTGCTGTCTGCTAGATACTTAAATACTCCCCTCCAGTGCTGCTCTTGTGCTTTGCAGGCCTGGGCAGGTTGCCATACGAGATCCGCAGGCCTGCAGTTTATACAGAAATTGGGCCTCTGACTTATGACTTTTTAAAAATAGAACAAATGTACTGTCAGTTGTTTTGAGTTCTCAGTATGTATGTGGGTTTGCATCCTTGTGATTAATCTCAGAAAGATGTAAAAGAAAAGTACTTTTTTAAAAATAGGAGTAAAACAAAT